CTGGGGAAATGTTATTTATCATTTGTTTTCTTATTCAGATTAAAAAAAAACACTAAAGGCAGTAAAGTATTATTGAATATTGATTTTAAAAATATTTATGGGACTGGTTTTTGGATGACAGGGCTATTTAAAATTATTGGTGAATGAACAAAAGCCCTCTGTTGCATTTGTTTCTGAAAATGCTTGAAGTGAATTCTGCCCCCTTTTAAATTTCTTCTGTGTTTGCATGTGCGTGCCTGGGGGAGATGGTGAAGAACTCAAAGCCTGCAATATCTAATATTTAATATTCACCTGATTTGGTTGAGAAACACTTCTTATGTATAATCTTCATTAGCAGAAAGAACTATGAAGGTTAAATTACTGAAAGTTTTCCTAATAAATTTGGAGCACTAGTCTTGAAACTGATCTTTCTATATAATAATGTTTCTTCTATTTCCACAAGGACTTCCTGAGGTTGGCAAAGTACCTAATTGTAAAGGAACTAAAGGAATAGATCAAAATAGGCTTTTGATTGCTGTTGTGTACAGATGTCATCTTCAGGAGCTTAGGGAAATGAGTGTGACTTCAAATTTTCACACACATAAAAGTTGTAAGTCCTCTGAGGAACAGTTTGCCGAATGTATGTGTGAGCTTTAATGTATATTGTTCAAAGGACTTACAGGTGGATGATTCAGTCAGTCACATAACCCATAGTCATTGGACAGATGGGATAAGAAATGGATCAGGAATATCACCCTGCCACTCAGGGTTATTTATATTTTTATGGCTTCTTTCAGCTCTGTCTCTGCATAAACCTCAGTATCATTGGGTATAGTTTCATTTTCATTTGAGAAACAATATACTCTAAGACCTTCCTATAGCAGGATGTCTGTGAAACACTGGTATCTTGAATTTCAAAAAGCAGTATGACTGACACTTATGTCAAAAGGCACCCTACCTCCCTCCCCTCCCCTCCCCTCCCTTCCCTCTCCTCCCCTCCCCTCTCTTCTCCTCCCTTCCTCTCCCTTCCCTTCCCTTCTCACCAAAAGCTTTCTCCAAGGTTACCATAAGTCCTATAGGAGCCTTATGAACTTAAAGTGTGTAAGCTTCTAATCGCTTCCTTAGCTTCTAAGCAGTCATTCCCCTTAAAACCCTTGAATACCATTTAAGTTGTAAAGGAAGGAAAACAGATCCTTTGAAGTGTCCTTAAAAAAATAACTAACTAAAGCATCTCATAGTCAGCTTACAACTTTTCTCCTAAGTTGAGAGCTACCTAGTATGAAAAAATAAAAAAAAGGCATTAAGGAGCAATACAATTTCTCCCCTATTTTTTGTATCTCTCTCAGGATATAGGAAGATGGAGTGGTCCCACAGATTAGGCCTCTAAACCCATTTTCTTTATTTCATCAAAATTAATCAAACTTGGTTTAACCGGAACTTAATCCAAAATAGGTAAATATTAAAGATAAGTGTGTCACTAGAGAGTTTTCATTAAGTCGATATTCAAAGAGACAATTAAAATATGTCTTTTAATGAAGTTTAGGAATGCAATCTTTTAAAACCAAGCTTCATTACTATGTAGGACAGTAACTGCTTTGTATACTGTTATGATGGGCTTTAAAAAATATGGCATCTCTAATATTTTAAGTGCTCCCAAACTCAAAACAGATTCTTGCAAAAATAAGATTTACCTTCATTTATAAAATACTAGAGGCCCGGTACATGAATTCCTGCATGGGTGGGGTCCCTCGGTATGGTCTGCAGGGATTAAGCTGAAACTGGCAGTCCAGCAGTGCCTGCCACTCCTGCTTGTTGCTCCTGCTCATCCTGGTCCCAGTGCACCTGCCTCAGACTTGTGCCCAGTCAGTCCTGATCAGGAGAGGCTTGTGCCATCACAGTGGCCCTCACCAGCCGTGTGCGCCATCCCAAGGGGGTGGGAAGAGAGCTGGGATGTGACTGGCTCTCTGGGCAGGCGGTGGGATGCCCTTGCCGGTTTGGAATCCAGATCCATCCCACTGGTGTTCTTGCTTGTTGTTGGGAACACCTGGCAGCTGCTTTTATATTGTTTCTTCCTGGAAGAGCATCTAGGGAGGGGAAGTGGCCACAGTGCCTGAGGCTGACTCCCAGGAGGTCAACAGCACTGTCAGGTCCCTGTGGGCAGCACAGTCCATTGGTGCCTGGCCTGTTCTCCGGAGATTGGACCTGTAGGACTACTCGGAGGGAGTGGCCCACTGGGGCAGGTCTGTCAGCTGAGCAGGACTCCTGCTGCAGGAAAGCACTGACCACCAGGGGGCAGCTCCTGTGTTGAGTGTCTGCCCCCTGATGATCAGTGCACATCATAGTGACCAGTCATTCAGTCGTTCAGTCGCTTAGGCTTTTATATATATAGACTTGAGGCCTGTTGCAGGAAGATTCATGCAATAGGCTTTTCTTCCCCTGGCTGCTGGCACTGGTTTTCCCCTGGTACCGGGGTCCCAGATCTTCACTCTGGCTGCCGCCTTCTGTCTTTGTTCTGGCCAGAGCCTTCAGTCTTTGCTCCAGTGGAGCACCACTCCTGTAGCTCCCTCTGCTTCCTGCCCTCCCCCTCATAGCAGGCATCCTGCCCCGCCTGGCCACTCCGCCTCTTGTGCTGCCAAGATGTCTGGAGTGGCTGGGGGGAAGGGCTGCCACCATCTTTGTCAGTTAATTTGCATACTCACTCCTGATTGGCTGGTGAGCATCGAGACGTACAGTCAGTTTACACATTTCTCTTTTATTAGTGTAGATGTAGAATACAATAAGCTATTGATCTGAAAGTTTTATAATTCCTGATATTTTATTCTTCCCAAGAGCCTTTAAAAAAATTATCTTTATTGCCCTGGCTGGTTTGGCTCAGTGGTCAGAGTGTTGGCCCACAGAAGGAATAGTCAGGGATTCCATTCCCAGTCATGGGCACATACCTCAGTTGCAGATTCAATCCGTGGCCAGGTCAGGGGAGTGAGCAGGAGGCAACCAGTCAATGTGTCTCTCTCAGGTTGATCTTTCTCTTTCTCTCTCTCCTCCCGCTGTCTCTCCCACTCCCCCCTCCCTTCCACTCTCTCTAAAAATCAATGGAAAAAATATCTGCACTCCTTAGTTAGGATTAAAAAAAATATCTTTATTGTTGAGACTATTACAGATGTTCCCCTTTATCCCCCTCACTCCTAGACACCCTCCACCCCTCACCTGTCCCCTCCCCAGGCCCACTGCATTATATTATCTGTTCATAGGCTATGCATAGATAATTCATTGGTTAATCTCTTCATTTACTCCCTCCCTCTTCCCTTTGAAATATTTCAGTCTGATGCATGCTTCAATGCCTGAATTTTTTTTTTTTTAATCAGTTTCTTTTGCTCACTTGATTCCACATACAAGTGAGATCATGTGATACTTATCTTTCTCTGACTGGCTTATTTCACATAGCAAAATACTCTCCAATAGTCTTAATAGGAAATAATCATAGAGGTAAAATATCACAATTTAGAGACTATTTTAAAGTAATATATCAAGGAAATTCCATAACTTCTACATTAAGTACAAAACCTCCTAAGTTAGACTATATATTAGGCAAAATATCATAGGAAAAGTAGCTTGGGCAAGAAAAAACAGTTAAAATGTTTAAATTTTAATCATAAATTTTTAGGCATTTTCTTAAGAGATTTGATAGTTTACCTGCTTGAGATGTGTGTTCCAAATTTCTTGTTAAAGTTTGTTATACTTATCGAGTAGGTTACTAAATTTTTCCAAAGTAGTTTAGTCTTCTCATCAAAATATAGAAATTTGTGCAGGGTTGACATATATAGGGTGGGGCAACAATCTGTTTATAGTTGTGAGTAAACCAAATACAGAGTTTATTCTTGCATTATTATTTATCAATTATATTATTTTCCACGTGAAGAACTATAAATCTCCTTTTGCTCCACCTTCTATATGAACATATGTTAATTTAAGTACATATAGTTATATACTTTATTTCATATTTCCAAATTTCTATAACTACTTTGCAACCAAAAATCAGGACTTTGAAGATGTTTTTGAGGAAATTTAAGTAATTTCAAGTTACATCCGGCAGAGGTCTTTTGCATCTTTATAGTTTCTCATAATTACATTGCTTCCTGGCTCTTGTGTCTTGAAATCTTCACTGTATCTTGACCCTCTGCCTGTCTCTGGGGAGAAATTTTAGGAGAATCATCTCAGTCTTGTCTTGCTTATAGTCAAATAATGAATCATAGTTGATTTAAAGGTGTAAGAAACAAGAGATTCTTTCTCCCATCCAAGTTCCAGCCCTTCTGCTTGTGGTGGAATGATGGACTGATAACATTTAAGAAACGATTTACAGATTTGCCATCTCTATTGATCTAGCGCAAGGTCAACCAGATGGTCATCAGTTCTATGGGACAATGTACTTCAGATGTTATTAATTAGTTACATTTGTGCTAGCTAAACCTTTCATGTTAAGATAATTTACCCCTAGAAGATATTATATTGTGTAATTTGTATAATTCTCAGTGCCAAATAGCTTTTCAAATGAATATATAGTTAATGCAACTGTTTTTTTAAGTTGAATAATTGTGGAAAAACAATTCAATAGTTTAACAGATTTATATTTCATAACATTATTGCCACTGTAACCTTCTCCCCCCCCAGGTAAACTATAAAGGTAATATGGAAAGGCAAGGATACATATGTATTCAATACAATAGACAAACATTGTTTTGTTTGGGTTGTTAATATAAAAAGAGGAAGCATTGCATTTATCCAATAGAAATTTTAGCATGTAATACTTTATAAAATCAGGAGTAAATACAAAATAATTTGATAAAAAGTATCAGTTACATATAATTTTAAGAGAAGGTTCTGAGCTTCAGAAAAATTGATTTTTTTTTACATTTTATATATAAAATATGATTACTGAATTAATTATATCAAATGTTATTCCTATTAAAATTAGATAATTTCTTTTTAAAAAATATATTTTATTAATTTTTTTACAGAGAGGAAAGGAGAGGGATAGAGAGTTAGAAACATCGATGAGAAAGAAACATCAATCAGCTGCCTCCTGCACACCCACTACTGGGGATGTGCCCACAACCAAGGTACATGCCCTTGACCGGAATCGAACCTGGGATCTTTGAGTCTGCAGGACAACGCTCTCTCTATCCATGAGCCAAACCGGTTCTGGTAAAAAATTAGATAATTTCTTATAAGATTACTTTTCAGCTAGCAATTCTGATTGTGAATCTAAGATATTCAATTTACTGACAAAGTTATTCACATTTTATTATCTCACTATGTCTGTAGGATCTGTAGTAATTTTTTTTTTTTTAATTTCATTTCTGATACTGATTATGTATGTCTGCTTCCTTTATGCTCGGACTGATCTGTATAGAGATCAATTTTTTCATTTTATTGATCTCTTTAAATAATCAACATTTTGTCTATTATTTTTGTTTAGCCTTTTTTATTTATGCCTCCAAATTTAATTATCTGATTTCTTCTTGCATAATTTGTTCTTTTATAACTACTTAGCATGGACTGTTAAATTACTGATTTGAAAGAAGTTTTTCCTGATACAACCAGTTATGGAGGTATGGTATAAATTTCCCTTGAAATACTGCCTTAGCAGTGCCCTATATATTTTGATGAAATGTGTTGTGATTTTCAGTCAGTTCAATATATCTTCTAATTTCTCTGTTATGTTTTCTTTTAAAGAAATATCTTGTATAATTTATAAATATTTGGATCTTTTTGTATATCTCTCTGTTTTCTGCTTTAATTCCTTGTTGTCAAGGAGCATACATCATGTGTTTTTAATTATTTAAACTCATAATAGTCTACATAGAAAAGAATATGTATTATGCTTTTGCCACATAGTGTTCTATTAATAGCAATTAGATTCAATCAGAAACCTCTGAGTCATCAGGCTTACTTTTTAAAGTAATCCTAATGGATACAGGATTATCATTTTTATATGTTTTTAGGTCTAGAAAGATAATACCTAGAGATAAATAAGTAGGATAAAGATAATGTGCACTCAGTATCCCATAGTCTTCAGAAAGCCTAAATGAATATTATTTTACAGAAAGGGAAGTCTGGGTCCACTGAAGTTTTTATTTTGTTTCAAAACTCTTATGAGTTATTATTTGACTGGCATGGCTCGGGGGTTGAGCATTGACCTATGATTCTGAAGGTCACGGTTTGATTCCCAGTCAGGAAACATGCCTGGGTTGTGGGCTCAATCACCAGTGTGGGGCATGCAGGATGGCAGACGATCAATTATTCTCTCTCATAATTGATGTTTTCATCTCTCTCTCCCTCTCCTTTCTTCTTGAAATCAATAAAAATATATTTAAAAAAAAACACAAATAAAAATTCTGATGAGTTATTAAGGTGCCCCTAGAAATATCTTAAAGCATTTATAAAGTTTTGGGAACTCAAAAATAAATTCATTGCTAGTTAAATAGATGGCAGAAAGTCAGTCATTTGTCACTATTAATTCTTTGCTTGTGTTCGCTAGAATAGTAAAGACGTCCTACTACTGAACTGTCCCTTGTCCTTTGAGGCCTGTGAATCATTGCCTAAAACTCAAAGAGTGAAAACTTCATAAAGGTGCTGCTATTTGGATACATTTTCCTTAGCTTATTTTGGCCAATTTTCCAGCTCCAGTTTGAGTTTTACATTTACATTTGCATGTTCATGACAGTGCTTTAAAAACATAAAAATGTCACTGTGCATTGTATTGGGCAACAAGTATATAAGTGTAGAGCCTAGAAGTTTTTTCAATTATTTACTTAGTGATTTTCTTTTTTTGCCTTCTTTTGGTGCTGAATTTTTATTAATAAAGTTATAAATATCTCCAAGTCATTGACATAAATGAAAGAGGATGGAATTTTACAAAGCATCTTTTATCGTCTATAGCTGCCTCGTTTGACAAGAAGCTTAGTTAATTTAATGATAAATAAAAGGACCCCTGTGAACTGGTGAGCTAAACCCAAAAGCTGATGAATTGTCATTGGACAATAAATTCAAAATAATAAATTGCCTCTTTATGAACTCTGGTAGCATTAACCTTTCAAGGCACATTTGTTAAGAACAGTTTGTCTTATGGTTGCCCAAGAGATGAAAATAAAGTCAATTGTTCTTGATTTCTCCATTCATCTTGGAGAAAGCTCACTCTGGTTGTATTGAATCTTCTGAAATATTTAGTTCTTGGGAAAACTTGTGTTACTGTAGTTTCTTTTAAATCCCTTTCTGATGATCTCAGTTAAATGTCAATTAAACATCTTAAATAGCACCTGCATGTTTTGAAAAACCCAAACTCAATAAGAAGTACTGTGTAATAATAGGCTCTGCATTTTTCCTCGGTGACAGTGTCTTTGAAATCAGGAAGGAATAGATGAATTCAAGGGTGTATTGGGCAGTGCTCAACCATAAAGAGTCTGAAGTAGAGTAGCACTAAATTTGTGATGTAAAGAGCAAATTAAAACTGTTATAAAATATAATGGGAATTGAAGATGGGAAAAAATTGCCAAGAGAATTTCATATGTCCATTTCCCCCTATCCTATCTAACAAAGAGGGAATATGCTAATTGATCCTCATGCCATCACAAAGATGGCAGTGCCCACAGCCAATAAGGAGAGAATATGCTAATTGACTGCTATGCCCTCTGGAGTCCCCTAGTTCCCTTAGCCCCCCAGTCACCTAGGGCTGGCCTGAGGCCCAGGCCAGCTTTGGCTGTCGGCTGCCTAGGTGCCCAGCTGCCCAGAACTGCCTGAGGCTCAGGTAACCAGGGCCAACTGAGGCTTGCTCTGCTGGCTGTGGCAACAGCAGAGGTGTGATGAGGCCTCACCTTCCCCTGATTGCCAGGTTGCCTCCTGCCCCTGAGGGCTCCCAGACTGAAAGCGGGCAGGCCAGGCTGAGGGATCCTCTCCAGTGCATGAATTTTCATGCACTGGGCCTCTAGTAATATATATTTATGTAGGACTCTAGTACTCAAAATTAAAACAAAATCTCTTTCATAGCCTTAAATTGAAGGAGGGAAGTTTTAAGTAGTGCAAAAAAAGTCTCATGGGAACTATTAGGGTAGAATGTGTTACAATGATACACTGTGGATCTCTCTCTTTTTAAGATTTTTAGAAAAAAAGTGAGAAACCATGTCATAAAAAGGTAATTCTTGTCCTCAGTGAATTTTCTCATATTCTAATAAGCTTAATTGTGTTGCCAAAAGATGATGTTATGATGTTAAGCTATTTTTAAAGGTATGAGGTTCCTGCAATTGAGAACAGAAAAGGGAAGCTTCAGCAATCTGAAATCAGAAGAGTGAGTATGTGTACTGTACTTATTCAGTCATCCAGTCATCTAATCAAGGCAATTTCATGAGCAATATGTGTCATGTTCCATTCCATGATATCCATAGATAAGGGTGAACATTTATGGTCAAACAATTGGCTGTGAGAACCAGCTGCAACTACAGTGGGAGAGCTGCTATGCAGGAGACACCCTGTGGAGCAGGACTTGTTTCAGTGGCGCTTTGGTGCTCACTGAGTCTGCCCCTGGAGAGTGTCACTTTTGGACATGTAGAGTTATAATCTGGTATGGTCTGACACTGACCACTGAGTACACTGGCTCTTGGGTCTGAGTACATTGACTCAGGGAGGTGCAAAGTCAGCCACTGCCTGGGGTCACCCAGCAAGAGCTACAGAGAGATCTTCAGATTCCTAGTCTTTCTATCAGGTTTGGAAGTGCCTAGATGAGGCCCAGCTATGAAGCGAGGCAGGCTGGTGCTGGTGCTGGGTCTTGGGCTTTGTTTTGATAGGTTTGGGGCTCCCTGACCCAACTGTATTTTAGCCTGAGCAAGTACAGGCCATTCATATGCAAAGGCCTCTGCACACAGCTGGGGTGTGGTTATAAATTGGATGGGGCAGGTCTTAGAGAATCACCAGGGCAGAGCAAACAGAAATGGCTGCCATTCAGCCCTGCAACGAGGAAAGTTCCAGCACAGGAACAGTGATCCCTGCAAGCACTTCTGCCTGGGAGAAAGCCAGCCCCAAGTTCCTGCCTCAATGCCAGACAATCCAGTTCCTCCTGGTATGTGTCTGTGTTCCCCAGACCCTCGCCCTGGTGCTAGAGCTCAGAGAAAGCAGGAACTTGTAAGTTCAGTTGGTGGTGCCAGCCTTTTAAGAGGAGCAGCTGGGTCTCCAGTAGGCTCTGTGTCACTGAGCCCCAATCTGCACTGGTTTTTATAGCCCATAGTTCTTACTGCCCATAGAAACTTCTTTCCCCAGCTCTGGGACTGAGGGCTGGAGGTCTGGTCTGGGGCTGGGACCCCTTGCTCCTCCAGGCAGCCTCTGCAGAGATCTCCCTCCCAGTTAAAAAGCAGCCCACCTGGGTGCCGTACCTCCGCGCCTCCTCACCTCGTACCAGTCTCAGTGTGCTTTCTTCTCTACTTCTCTACTTGTAAGGCTTCCATTCAGCCAGCTTTCCATGGTTCTGGATGGTGCTTGTTCTGTATTTTAGTTGTAATTTTGATGTGGTAGTGGGAAGTGGCGAATACAGGCTTTTGCCTATGCCACCATCTTGGTTCTCTGGACTATGGTTAGTTAGTTGCTGTAGGTGAGGTCTTCCTTTTGGCTATGGGAACAGGTCTGAGTTCAAACAAAGGATAAAAACTATAGAAAAATGTATTTTTTCTCTCTCCTCACCTCTATGCAAATTTGTCGGGGTGTGTTTCTATAAGTTCAATATAGCCTACACTTTGTCTTAAAAAAAGTGATTCAAGTATTCTTTCTTTCTTTCTTTCTTTCTTTCTTTCTTTCTTTCTTTCTTTCTTTCTTTCTTTCTTTCTTTCTTTCTTTCTTTCTTTCTTTCTTTCTTTCTTCTCCTCCTCCTCCTCCTTCTCCTCCTCCTCCTCCTCCTCCTCCTCCTCTTCCTCCTCCTCCTCCTCCTCTTCCTCCTTCGACACCATTACAACATCAACTAAATATACACTGAGACATACTCACTTTTTCCTTTTCCTACACACCTTTTATTTAATGAGTATTTAAAAAAAATAACTATCATTTTTGTTTTAGTTACATGGCTGTCAAATAATAAAAGTATTGAGAAAAAGAGCAGCATGCCTTGGGCAAATTCCAGCACTTCTCTGCCGTCTGTCTGATTTTCTGTTATGTGTTACTGAAGACCTCCGTTGTTAACGAAAACAAATTGAAAAGCAAGGAACAGAAAGGTTAGACGTTTTCTAACACTGAGTATGACTTGGCAAGCAGAACGCATAAAAGGCAGAGCGAAGTGCTAAGCCGTGTGCTATTTTAGGGCAGCGCTAGCCATGAAACAATGTGCTGAGCTGTAAAAGCAGGCAAGGAGAGCCTACACTTCCAAGATGTGTGGTTTCCATTCAAACCTCCTTCATTCTGTGGAAATTAAGTGCCTTGAGCACTTAATATTGATGTTACTTCTATGGAGGGCTTTTTATGTTTTTGAGAAATTTCACCCAATCATTCATGTATTACAGAACTCCTATGAAGTAGGTAGGCATGGAGGCCCAGGGGTGCTAAGTGTCTTGGCTAAGGACACGCAACTTGATGGTGGCAGAGACCAGACTGAGAGAGGGAGATGGAATAAGAAGAGGAAAATGAATTGTGGACTATGTTTGTAGGGAGTCAGATATCTCCTGAAAATGCATTTTACAATATCTGCAGAAATGTTAGGCCACTAATATGAATATTAACAAGTTTTCTTTCCAAAGTATGCACAACAGCATAGCTTAAACATACCTTAACTTTTTAATTAACTTTTTATTTTTTTTTTAGCAATTATTTATGGATTTTTATATATCAAACTTTAAATATATATAACACCACATTAGAAATGCCTCTAAATTCTTTTTGGAAAGATGGAGGTAATTCATAAATAGCAGAAATTTACATTTTTACTTGTCACTAATTCATGTAAATTAGTGAACATATTTTCCCAAGTTATTGCTCTTATAATTAAGCTTTTCATTTGATGTGGAATGTATATCAGGATCCCATTTTTCTCTTTGTCAATTCCTAGAATTAAGTATTCTACTCTGCTCATTTATGTATTGCCTTAGAAGGAAAATACCATTAAAATAATCTTATGTTCTAATTTGAAGTAATGTCAGTAAAAAGTGTCTAATATTCTTGCCTTTCTCAGCTTTACAACTTACCAGGATTTAAGAGCATTGACAATAAAAGTATTGTCACCAAGAGATATTCTAGCTAATTAATTCCTAAATTATCATCTTAGTAAAACTTTTTCTTATAAAAAAAAAAAGCAGGTACTAGACGTTGATTATAAGATTGCTCGTATTTAATCTTATATATAATGTGATGGCTATTGTCAAATCTCTAGTCTTGGAATTGATAGACCAAAGGAGTCAAAACAGTATAGTTTTACAGAAGATAATTGCTATTTCATTAAGAAGAGGATAAGGCGACTTATTTCACAAAAATAAATTCTTAAGTCTCTGTATTAGCAAGAGAACTAAAGAAGCAGTTGCTAAATTCTTT